AAATCTAATAAATAAACCATTTGCAATCTAACGTTTTTTCTCTAACGCAAATATGCATGCGAGCTCTTCCCTATATCTCATCCTCCTCTTCATTTCCACCGTTTCTTTCGCCGCCGGCGAGAGATTCAAAGAAGCTCCGGAGTTTTTCAACTCCCCGGAGTGTCACACCGTCGAAAACGACGACGGTTTCTTCTGTTCAGACAAAGCCGTCCACGTGGCAATGACCTTAGACGCGGCTTACCTCCGTGGCTCAATGGCCGTGATTCTCTCCGTCCTCCAACACTCCTCTTGTCCACAAAACATTGTTTTCCACTTCGTGACTTCAAAACAAACCCACCGACTCCAAAACTACGTCGTTTCTTCTTTCCCTTACTTGAAATTCCGTATTTACCCTTACGACGTAGCCGCGATCTCCGGCCTCATCTCCACCTCCATCCGCTCGGCGCTTGACTCTCCGTTAAACTACGCAAGAAACTACCTCGCCGAGATCCTCCCCACGTGCCTCTCACGTGTAGTCTACCTAGACTCAGATCTCATACTCGTCGACGATATCTCCAAGCTCTACTCCACTCACATACCAAACGACGTCGTTTTAGCCGCGCCGGAGTATTGCAACGCCAACTTCACCACTTACTTCACACCGACGTTTTGGTCAAACCCTTCTCTCTCCATAACACTCTCTCTCAACCGTCTCCGACCACCGTGTTACTTCAACACCGGAGTGATGGTCATCGAGTTAAAGAAATGGAGAGAAGGAGATTACACGAGGAAGATCATAGAGTGGATGGAGTTACAAAAACGGATCAGAATCTACGAGTTAGGATCTTTACCACCGTTTTTACTTGTCTTCGCCGGAAACATAGCTCCGGTGGATCACCGGTGGAACCAACACGGTTTAGGAGGAGACAATTTCAGAGGATTGTGTCGAGATTTGCATCCTGGTCCAGTGAGTTTGTTGCATTGGAGTGGGAAAGGGAAGCCTTGGGTAAGGTTAGACGATGGTCGACCTTGTCCGCTCGATGCACTTTGGGTTCCCTATGATTTGTTAGAGTCAAGGTTCGACCTCATCGAGAGTTAGACGTTACTTTTATTAGACGTTACTCTCTTTTTTTTTTTTTTTTACAAATACATATTTTTGACTGGATGTGTGAAATAGGAAGAGGAGTAATACTTGAATGAAATAGTAGGAAGAATAGTCGAATGTGTAATTAGTTTGGTGATGGTGGTAGCTAATAACTCATTGCCTGCTTCTACCATAATAAATTCGATACCTATATGGTGATAATAATTGTGAATATGTATCTACCGAATGGACCACGTACGGCGGAGTCTTAAGGATGTAATAACGAATACATATACAAGAGATTTTTTCCTTATGAATTGTCAATATGAGTTTTTATGGTTACTGTTGTTGAATTTAAATTTAACAATATACCGTAAGAGTTTATATAACATATATATTTGGGAAATTTGTAAAAATGTCATTTTTTAGGTGTATATTTGTAAAAATACTATTTAGAGGTGTTCATTTGCAAAAATGCCACT